GACTGACCTTCTCAACCTTTCGTCACGGAAGCAGGAGTTTGACGCTTTTTGTTTAGTTTTGTTGTATTTTGACAGAGCCATTTGTTCTTTTGTTTATGCATATTTATGAAGTGAAGCTGCTGGTGGAACTCGGCTGTGTTACCTTCTCCTGCGGCTTGGCGTCGTCTCCACAGGTAGGAGAGACAACCTGAAGAATTTGAAAAATGGCTGTCGTTTTTTCACTTCTGTAATATAACATTTTAATACAAATTCCCCCAAATTTATAATAGGTAAATGTCGTGTTCAGAGAAAAATATTTTTGCTGAATTTATTTAACTTTAATGCTTCTGGTATAGTTTGTTGGGATTACGGTTTTCTCTTCTGTCTCTCTGAGGTTTGTAAAACCTCTTGAGACACTATAAATTATAATTACAAATGAACATACTGTCATTGTATAAACATGGATGCTGTTCATTTTACTATTTTTGAAATGAGAAAAAAATATCTTATTTATGTAAAAGAGATCGCTGAGATGTCTTCACATAAGTCTATGAAACTGAGCTCTGTTGATTACACATTATACAGGACACCCTGTGTTGGTACATTAATTAATGTAGATTCTCAGTTATTCTTGATGGGAGAATCGTAAGTGTTTTTCAAACGTCACAACCCTTTCCTATTCCTTAATGATGTTACATCTCTCATTCAAAAAGCTTCTTCAGTTCTGATAGGCGTTTTTAGCTCATAAACATAAAAGCTTTTATCGAACACGTCAACTCAGTGGACAACACTATCAGGTTTCCTAGGGAGAATATCAAAGACAACCAGAAAACTGTTTTGAGAGTATTTAGTAAACACTGAGAGAGGTGTAGGTCTCGCATGTTCAGAAAACCTCAACACGTGGACTATTTCATATTTTTGAATGTCACCAACAATTGGGATTTGAAAGGTCATGAGAATCTGGAGCACCAAGAAAATGAGGCCACACAAGTATGAAAGGAAGGAACAACAAACAAAAGCATACCAAGAAAGTACTTCAAGCTCTTGAGTCACCATTTAAGTTGCCTCTCTGCTGCAGAAATTGCCTGCATTTTGATTCAGTCAGCTTGTAGTTGATCCTCCTCTGCCGGCCATGTTTACTGTTTACTTTAAATTTTTGACAGGAGTTTTGTATTTTTGTCTGTGATCACATTTAAACCCAGCCACCTGTGCTGAATGTTATAATGTTTTACAGAATTTTTATTAAATACAGAAATAAAAAAGCAGCATCCTTAGTTGAAATATTTCATTAGTATCACATTTGGAAACTCCATACAAAAGAAATTAAAAGTGTGATGATTTCATCAAAGACTTTTTAAACAAATACTAATAGTTTAGGTTAAAATATTTTCAGTTTTTATGAAATGGGATACCAATGAAAGAAATTACTACTGCCCTGAATTGTTGATCATTAACCAATTACAGGTTTGATACAAGAAGATGAGCTGTGGAAGCAGAAGCTATGTGAATGTGGATGGTATTCCTAATCTCACAGGCTTAATTATTAAAAGATTTCTAGACTATTAAAAACTCCCTCTGCGTTAAAAAGGGATTTTATTTCAGTTTCAGAGCTTAACCAATGTCTTTAGACAGCCAATAGTGATGCTGATCAGATCTCTTTTTTTAACTTTTTCTCCAGGAGTTAGGATCGCAGTTAATTTAAAATCAACTCTACCTACACATTTCTAACAGTTTGGAATGCCATTCTGTTGCCTGTATGATGTGAAACAATGCAAGACTAATGATCTCAGTGATTTTTCTTCCCTTAAAATGTTGTCTGTCTGTCATGCATCATGCATTCAGTTGCAGCTTGAAACTTCAAAACACAGGAAAAACACAACTGTCAACATCTCCTCTATCTGTAGTGTATTAGATCATTTGAATCAGGTGTTTTAAAACAAGCCGAAACATTGCAACATATTTAACTTTTCAGACATTACATTAAGTTATAGTAGTTGATGCACAGCTTTTGTTTGTCTGCACTGTAAAAAGTCAACAGGTCTTAAATTTATTGGCTCAACATGCTATCTGGTGCTTCTCTGCTTTTATTGCTGTTGCCCTCAGGGTTTCTGCTCAACTCCCCCATCTGTTTCAATTACCTGTAAGCTCAGAGGTCGGCCACATGGACACAGAGCCACAGGTGTACCTACAATGTTCCACCGAGAACAGACTACTTTCTCTCTCCCTGTCACTGCTGAACTGCAATCATCTGAATCAGGTGATTGTCTTTTGTGTCAATACTATTTGTGGGGTACTGGGATGATTTAAACTAGAGACTTGCCAAACTTAATTACACAATCTGGGTTATGCACAATCGGAGGTGCAGAGCCCGATCATCTTTTTCTTTTGTCCCCTTCAAACGTATTCTCTCACACAGACTGGACTTCTGCATTAGAGTCTCCTCCATAAAACCATGACTCTTGCTACTCCTCTCTAAATTGGACAGCAGTGAATATCGGTACCTATGCACTGATTGAAGCAAGCCTCGCAAAGGTTTCTGGGGATCACTGCTCAACCTTTGCTGTTTCACTGGTGAGTGTGCCAACCTTTTGGAATACATAAGAATATACACAGTGTCTGCTGCTTTACAGATTTGTTGTAAAATGCCTTGTGAAAGTAGTCAAGCATTGTGAACTTTTTCACATTTTTGTCACATTTAAATTAGATTATTCTAACACACCAGGAGAACATAGTGCACAATTGTGAAATGGAGGAAACAAGGTTTTTCTTCCTTCCTTCCCTTACTTTTTTTCCCCAAATAAAACTCTGAAAAGTGTGGCATGTACTTGTGGAACCCACATTTCACTGCAACTACAGCTGTGGGTCTTCAGGGTATGTGTCTGTCAGCTTTGCATATCTAAAAGATGATATTTTCTCTCATTCTTCTTTGAAAATCCCCTCAATCTCAGCCAGACATGAGTATCTGTACATTTTCAAATCCTATCACAGATTTTCAATTGAAATTATGAACCAGGTCTAACAGCTTTTTTCCAGGATTGTCCACTGTTTAGCTCCAACTATCTTCCCAAAATCTCTGACCTACTTTCTTGTGCCTGCAATATTGGTTATGTACCAAGTTAACTTTCAGCCAGCCCCAACAGTTTGCAAATAGACTGGTGTGTTTGATTTCGGTCTCATTCCCCAGAACACCTTTTCCTTGTGCTTGACATATCCCCTACAAGGCTTATAGCAAACAGAACTTCTTATAACTTTCTTCAGGAAATGATCGTCTGTTTGCTCTGTCTCTTGGTTGTGTCTTGGCCACATCTGTGGAGAGCAAATATATGATTGACATCTGGGCTGCTTTAATTCTTTTGTTAAAAAAAAAAAAAAAAAAAACTTAAAAACCATTTATCCCACACCAACCACTTCATAATGTTGCCCTACACTGAGTTGGTCTATGACATGGAATCCTGTGAATCTTAATATAACACTGCTTGGAAAGAAAAAACAGAATATTTGAAGGGGTATGACTACTATTGCAAGGTTTTGTCATTTGCCTTTGAAATTTGTTGATTTTGGTTCATTTTTCTAACTGAGAGTAACAACTAACTGTGCAACATAAATAATATGGGTCCAGTTCACTATTCTTTTTCTTTCATTGTCTTGTGAAAACTCCATAATTGTCTTTGATGAGAGCATGCTGCATAAAGTGTTGGATAAGTTAAGTGTTATTTAATTTAATTTAGCTGAATTCTGGGTGAACATGTTGCATCTGTCGCTCTCATTATGGAAAAGTATTTTATCAAATTGGGAGTTAACAAGGCTGAATAAAAAACAAACGAAGATGTTTAGATACCATTTGCAACATGAATAGACATAGCTATAGTACATAATGTTCTACCTTTACAGAAAGACTGTTTGCTTGGTGAGCTGAGAAACACTCAGTGTCAGTCTGCTAAATGTCCAGCCACAACCAGGAGACAGCTGGCAAATAAAGACAGGAAATATGGAAAACACTTGCAAAATAAATAGAAATAAGTAATTTCGCTATTCTTCTTGCTGTCATTTGGGAACATGTTGACAGCTGTTCTGCTCATGTGGGATCTGATTTGTCTGCTAATTATGTCCCTCAGTGTGAGACAGAAGACACTGAAATGAGGGTTTAATTGATTTAGGCCTGCTGTTCTAAGGTGAAGCAATAATTGTTTATTTCTTGACAGAAATTTCTTTCACATTTTTTATGTATTTCACTGTCCCAAGACATATTTATAAGTGCCATTTATGTTTTATTGTTGAACAACCATAAATGGTGTCTTTTTTCAAGTCTAATATCAGATTTTAAGTGAGATACTGTTTTTACTGTACATGCACAACCCAAACATCAGTCAGTCTTTAATTCTGCACTCAATGTTTGTTTGTCAATGACAAATATGGAAATGAGTCACTTAGAGCCTTTTGGTGAGAACAGAGAGATGATTCAGGGCTGGCAGTGGAATCACCTGGGTAATCAAAAGCATTTCTGTACAGCTGTGTGGAAACATTCCAAGTACTGCATCCCATCCTGGATAAAAGGCCCATCTTTGAAGTCGGTGTTTCACTACCGAAATAAAGCTAAAAACCTCTTTCCTGGCGATAAGATGAACGAATGCCAGTCAGGTCAACCAAAGACACAGTAATTCAGTGAGCCTGGAGGAACAAGTGATAAAGGATGCAGGAGTCCAGCAGAGCGAAGGGAGATGCTCTCGTGACTCCTTGTCAAACACAGGAATGCTAATGGCGCCCTAAAAAAAAAACCTGAGGAGGGGGGAAAAAAGAGTCAAAACAATAATGACTTCCATCTCTGTGGTTATTAGCAAGCCTGGAGACAGCTCGTTAATTCACTCAGCAAACCAACTGGGTGATATTTAGCCTGATTTGAGAGATTTGTCATGTTTCTTTGTTGCACAAGAACACAGCTGACATGATATCTTCAGAAGAACACAAGTCTGTGTTAGGTATTTTTCTCGAACCTACAATAAAATAACCACAGACAACGTATATGAATTAAATATGGTCAGGCTTCTGCAGAAGGAGAAATCCCGATCAACAGCCCCTCCGGGCTGGTCAATAGAGAGTTCTGATCTGCTTTCACGTGAGCTCCCTCTTTATTGTCAAAGCATCAAACAACAGAGGTCGTAAAACATTTAACACAAACAGACCAACAACTCAGTTCCAGGTGTGATATCTAATTTACAATCTGAGCCCAGTTCAGCTCTGGGTCAAACTGTCACCTAAGACCGGGTAGATAAACACCAGAGAAAACTTTAGGGTCTGAGAACCATAAAGTTTTACTATCTCGCATGAAGACAGTCGTAACCTCCAGGTCAGTTTATACTAAAATCACAATAATACTTTAGACTGAATATAAACTAAAGTAACAACAAAATGATAATATTAAAAAATATCTAACATTCCCCCCTTTTTATCATTTTACTATGTGTATAAACTGCTATGCAGAAGCCAAATATAGAAAAGAAAATAAAAGAAAAATAATAAAAAACTAATCTAAACACAGAGAATACATAATGAATAAAAGTTATATAATGAAATACATGAAAAAACAAAAGAATAAACAGTAAAAAATCAAATGCAGTTTTCTCATCCTAAACATCACTTGTTCCCACATTTTCGGTGTAGGAGTCATTCAGCAAATGAATTCATCTGTTTATTGATTACAGAAATTCATGATTGTTCAGAAAATCGTCAGAAACTTGGAACAAGTCATCTTCAGTTGTTTCATAAGATGCCTTTGTCAGCTGATAGTTAATAACAGTCGTGTTAATTGTTTTAAATATCATATTTCGTAGACAAGGAATAATGCAACCCGTAAAAAGACAGAACAGAATTAACACAATCAGAATAGGTGTCACAAGCTTTAACAGCAAGAACCACCAGGGTCCAGAAGTGAGCCATGAAAACAAATCAAAAGAGGATGAGCCGCGTGTTCTACTTGCCACATACTGTTTTAAATCTTACACCACGTTGGGCCAATGATTTTGCAGACCCCTCCCTGAGGGGCAGTGAGAAAGTCCAGGACAACACGGTTTTGCATAACCATGTTTCTCAGTTCAGTCAGTTCTTTCATGGTGCCATTGGCCAGCTGGTATGTGATGTTGATCAGTCGTAATAATCCGTACCTGCTTATCTCAAACATGGTATCAAATCTCTCCTAGACCAACCCACGGAAAAAGACCTTGCATGAATTTTTCTCCGCCGTTCCAAATCCTGAATTCCCATGGAACTCCAGTATGTGTTGTTAGGCCTTCCCATCTTTTGACCTCTGGCATAGCTGATAGCTCATTTTGTGCTTTCCAGTCTGCTAATATCCAAGAGCCATAATCTCCTGGCATTATGGCGCTACACAGTGTTGTCATCTGTCTCCTCTTAGTCTTATGCGTGATGTTGAAACTCCTCTCCTGAAGCAGGTTGTGACAATCTGGGTTTTCCTTCCAGACTTTGCAGTGTGGAGTCGCCCTTTGACCCCTGCAGGCTGTGCAGTCGATGAAATCCTGTGTCGGTTCGCAGTAGGTGTAAACTCTGTTACACAAGTGCCAGGGCAACGTCCCTAGAACAACATGTCCATTATTATACACACAGATCCTCAGAGATCCTGGTTTGGCTCCTGCCAACGAAATGATCTCTGGTATTTTCCATACAGTTTGTTGAGATGACGAAAAGGAAGTACATCGTCTGCCAGTGAACAATTTAAACATTGAAACAGTCCTTGCACTGCCTCTCCCATCCGGAGGTCAGCTGAATAGTCCTTCTCACGTGGTCTGTCTCCCCTTGGTGGTGGGATATGCCGCGGTCTAGTGCTTAGAACATAGAGACACATCTGTTTGTCGTCAGCAATGTTACCTGGTCGGAGACCTGAGTTGTGTATGGAAACCGGCAGCTGCGCACACACGTAGCAGTTCACAGCATGTCCCTCATAGGCAGTTCTGTTCATCAGTTTTCAGCCAAAGATTGGTACTGTAGTCATGTGGGTGGAACTCAGGCTCGCTTCCTTCACCAAACATCAAACATACAACAGTCACAGCGCAGCAGAAAATCCATCTGTCATATGGAGTCCCCATTGCTGCTCGATGTACAGAGATGTCAGAACCCCCAAACTAAAGGAGTGAGAATCTTCGCGTTTCTTCACCGGGTTTGAGACGAACTACAACTATAATGTAGCTCCCCTTTGTAGCCCGGAAGCTCTCAAAAGAGCTCTCCTTCCTCTCTACTCCAACTTTAGGGGTTTAACACTCTCTGCAGCTTACAGTGACTGAGATGTATCCAGCTGGGTCTTTCAGCAATCTTTACAGCTGTTGACTTTTATGTAGACCCAGTCACCTGGCTCGATCGGAGCGGCCTCCTGTGCAGGAAGAGAATCAAAAAGGCAGTAAATTTGCACTGGACACCTCCTTCAGTTTAAGGGTCCTGATCATATAATCTGCTAATGTCTGTTCTTCATCAGCTTTTTGTAAGTCTGGAGCAAACAGAGGCAATCTGTAAGCTCTCCCATGAATTATTTCAACCGGTGTTAGACCATCAGCTGTCGGGGTGATCCTCATATAGAGTTTCACCAAATCTAACCATTCTGGCCAGAGCCGGCTAGTGTCTGCCGTGCATTTTCTTAATCTGCTTTTCACAGTACTATTCGTTCTATAAACAGTTTGCGCGATGCCATGTGTTGGGATAATAGTTTTACAAATAGCCTTAGCTACTGTCAAAGCATCTGCATGCTTTGCTAGAACTATTTCAACCCATTTAGGAAAAGCATCAATCATCACTAGACAATATTTATATGGCCCACTTTGTGAAAGTTCAATAAAAATCCATATGCATGGTTTTACATGGATAAGATGGTTTTGGGAACCTGCCTCGTTTGGGCCTTATGTTTCCCTGAGACTTATGTCTAGCACATATTAGACATGCCCTACAAAAAATTTTTTTGAATAGGAATTTAAAACCATAAAGCCATATGGCATTCCTACCATCCCCCCTGTTGAGACATGAGATTCACCATGGCTCAATATTGCTGCTGCTTTAAATAAAGATTTAGGAAGGACTGGTTTATCATTAACCTCAAAAATTTTCTCATCATTAATTTTCGCACCCTTAGTTATCCACATCCTTTTTTCAACTTGCGGTGCGTTGTCCTGCATGTCTTTTAACACTGCTTTGTCTATCATGTGTTGTTCTTCTTCAGTCTGCGCTGAGAAAGTTCCTTTCCCATGTTTCCCTGCTGCAGCTTCTTTTGCAATTTTATCAGCTAGTCTGTTCCCATTTGAAACTTCATCTTGTCCTTTTGTGTGAGCTGCACATTTACATACCGCTAGTTTAATGGGGAGTTGTATTGCTTGCAAAGAATTTTAAGCAAAGATGCATGTGTTACTGGTTTCCCAGTAGATGTTGTCATTCCTCTACGCTCCCATTGTTTAGCAAAATAAAACGGTGTAGAGAAAACATACTGGCTATCTGTGAACACTGTCAAGTGCTTATCCTCAGCCAATTCACATGCCCTTGTCAAAGCAATCAATTCAGCTGCTTGTGCAGAATAAGCGCTGGAAATTCTTTCTGCTGCTATTATTTCATTTGGTAAAGCAACAACAGAATAACCTGTCTGGTTTTTACCAATAGGGTCCTTTGAACATGACCCATCAACAAACCAGACTTCTCCCGTTGCTAATGGGGTGTCCTGTAGATCTGGCCTAGGAAGCTGCAAGTGCTCTGTAGCTTCTAGGCAGCTATGTGGCGTTCCATCACAAGGTAATGGAAGCAACGTAGCTGGAGTCAAAATTGTACAACGTTTTATCACAATATGGTTGTGATAAAAGTATTGCCGTGTACGAAAGGTGTCGTGCTGGTGAGAGCAAATTCATTTTGCTCTGCAAAAGTAGAACATCTACAGCGTGTGGAACCAACAGCTCCATTTTGTGAAATAAAACTATGTCAGCCGACATGCTTACTGCTAATGCTGCTGCACATATTGCTTGTACACAGTCTGGTAAAGACTGTGCTACTGGATCTAACCTTTTTGAATAGAAAGCTAACGGTTTTAGCTTATCACCATGATTTTGTAGTAACACAGAGGTCATAAATCCATTCCTGCAGTCTACAGTTTGAACATAGGTTTTTTTCTAATTTGGAAGAATCAAAGTTGTTGCCTGCATCAGTGCTTGTTTTAATTCAGTAAAACTTTTTTCAGCTTCTGGATTCCAAGTTATTTTATCAGTCATGGCCATTGGGGTGCCATGAATCAAATCCTGTAAAACCTGAGTTTTTTTCAGCATAATGTGGAATCCAGGCTCTGCAATAATTGCAAAGTCCGAGAAATGACATCATTTGCTTTTTAGTTTCTGGTTTAGGTGCTTCAGAAATTGTCTCTTTCCTTGCTTTTTGTATCTGCTTTCCCTCAGCAGAAAGTGTATGTCCCAAATAATTTACTTCTTCTCTCACCCACTGCAGCTTATCTTTATAGTATTTACTAAAGTATTTTATTAGGGGATATTCTTTGTTGACTTAATAATTTCTGTATGTTAACAGGTCAATAAGCAACACAGGCTCACTTTATAGTTTAAAGAACATCATAATTAGTTTCTTTTCAGTTGTGAAATGTTTAAAACTTCGCTTATCTTTTTTATTACACCTAAAGCATTTGCTTTCCCAAACACAGAAAAAAAAACATTAAGAGCTGTAATGTCTTTTGGAGAATCCAATAAATGAACTTTGTGGCCAGTTTGCATCTTAACTCCTTAAGAGGGGCCTTTGTTTCAAAGAAAAGTCATTAAGGTTTCTCAACAGATCCACTCCCTGAATTTAGAAACTAAAGTTGCATCATAACCTGCCTTATGTGAGAATAAGCAACATCACTACAACATCCTATAACCTTTGGTTTCGAACAAAACTATAAAATTGAAAAACAAGGTCTATTCCTTACGGAAAAAGGTTATTTAAATCCTTTGCAGTTTTAGTTTTCACAATTTACATTTAAGGTCACTCCATTAGTCTGAGTAATCTCTATTGTCAGACCACAAGACAAATCCTCACCTCCACCTCATGAATTTTCCTTCACCTCTTGGAGGGGGTGATTTTATGGCAGGAAAGAGAGCTAATAAGGATTTCTGAGAAACTCCTAATTGTTCTGTTTTCCAACTGTCAAGGATGAAAACCTTACACATGTGGAGACTGATCTGTTGCTCCATTAGGGTTGTACCATAGAATATGTTTTTATTTCACCTAATTTTAAGATTTGGGAGTCTTCTATTGCTTATTTCTAAATTTGTTACTCTCCTTAACATAGACTAGTGTTGTGATGAGGTTTCATATGGTGGTCAATTGGATCTAGTGGGGGTAGAAGTTGCAGAGCTGCTGTTGTAAACAGGATTGCAACTCCTCCCTGCAGCTTCATCATTCTCTAGTCTCAATAAACATACTTGTTGCTTTTCTGTTTTGTTCTGATTATTTCTTATGTTATTTTCTTATTTTATTTGCAACCCTCTCTTCTTTCTATTGTTGCTTTTAATCATCTCTTTTATTTAAGTTTAGTACCGATTCTCTACAAGGTGTCCCACATGCACCATAGTCAAACAAGAGAGTCATCTTTTTCCCATTAACCAATAGGTTAATTTCAGGCTTAATGTTATCTAGTGATAGGAAATCTGGTAAGTTTCCTTTGTTTGATCAATTTCCATTTCATTCTTTTCATCTAATTTGGGACGCGAAGTCTCATTATATGACTCTGGTGCACTTGTTTACTCATATTCTAACATCTTCAGATCATGCAACGCATTTTTTATTATTTTATTTTTAGATCATCCTTTTATTTTATTTCATTTATTTACTGAACCATTTATTTATTCAGATCCTTGTTTATTTATTTGCCAATACTCTATATCTTCCTAACCTTCTTTTCCCTCACTTTTTTGGACTTCCTTTTGTTTTACTTATTTATTTAAAAGTTTTCAATCACACTCTTTTACGCCAGCATGAACACAAACAGAAACACAGAACACAAAACGATTAGTCAGATATGTAGTCAGTCAAAATTTTTATCAGTCATCGATTATCAGTCAGTCCTCATCTTTTTGCTTTTTCTCAAATTGTTTAGCAACTTATACTTAATTTTATTAAATTTTACTGAAGCTTCAGAAACTTTCCAATATTTTTGGTTAACATTTTTTATGTTTTAATTTATTTATTTTCTTCCTTAAACAGTGTTCTTCAGAATCCTGTTTTAAATAATGTGCACATTTAAAAAGAGATATCTCAAACTTATGTTAGGCTCTAACAACAACCAATAGTTTCCTGATGTCTGGTACCACTTTTCGAACTAGTGCTTGTTTCCAATTTACACACCACATTTTTCTATTATTTTACTTTTAACACGCCATCTATACCATATTTCTTCTATTTAGTCCAGTACTTGGTTGATTCCTGCTCTTTCTCGGTTTGTATTCCGGCAATCTGCTGCTGGCAGAAGGAGGTGACCTAAGACGCTGGCCCAGCGAGGAAGTTACCCCCCGGGACTTTTCAAAACAGGTCCGCAGAACCTGACTACCGGTAGATTTCAGCGCGTCATACTCCTTCCGTCAGCGGCGTGTGTGTAAGGAATCCCGGACGAGCCTCCAATTTTTTTTTCCATTGATCAATTTTTTTAGCTTCCCATCTATTTTATATTTCTTTTTCCATTTTTTTTTATTTTTATTTATGTATACCATGCTACCAGGAAATCTGGACAGCATGTATTTCTCATCCCCATCGGGGCCCTCAACGAGTGAGGAATTACACGAATTTGCATTTTCCATTATACAAATCACTTGCAGTTTTGGCTTCAAATTTTTATTTATTTAAAATTTAGTCCAGTTTTGTTAACTCCTAGGGAGTTCTATGAACTGGAGATCTTTTCAGTAGGCCAGCAATTAAAAATACCTTGTTGTGGTATTCTCCACTTCAACTCTTTCGAGTGGGAGAATCTTGCCTCTGCATCCACAAGAGGTTTGCTGCTTACCCCCTACTGTTTTATATGAGGTAAAATACAGAGCCGTATTTAAACCTCCACACAGTCTTTCACGCATACGCACACATCAACAAAGCAGCACACAAACCAGCAATGACATATAGTAATAACAAGACTGAGATTTTTAGCCAAAATACCATTTGACAAGGAACCACTCACACCTCAGAGTTTTAGTTAAAAACATCGTTTAACAAGGGCATTCACACCTCAGAGTTTTAGTTAAAAACATCGTTTAACAAGGGCATTCACACCTCAGAGTTTTAGTTAAAAACATCGTTTAACAAGGGCACTCACACCTCAGAGTTTTAGTCAAAACGCCATTTGACAAGGATTCTCAAACCTCAGAGTTTTAGTCAAAACGCCATTTGACAAGGATTCTCAAACCTCAGAGCTTTAGTCAAAACGCCATTTGACAAGGATTCTCAAACCTCAGAGCTTTAGTCAAAACGCCATTTGACAAGGATTCTCAAACCTCAGAGCTTTAGTCAAAACGCCATTTGACAAGGATTCTCAAACCTCAGAGCTTTAGTCAAAACGCCATTTGACAAGGATTCTCAAACCTTAAAAAAAATAAAAAAATAAATAAATAAATAACCTTTTAATTCACCTACGTTTCCGTAGTTCTCAAGTTGTCCAGTCGGATCTCGTCACTCCGCCGTTGACAGACAAAGTCGGACATGTGTCGCTGGCCCAGCGAAGAATTCACTTCCTGGGTCTTTCTTTCCAGGTCTCCAAATGACTCTGGCCGTGCACGGATTCAGCGCGTCTTCCTCTGCCTGACAGCGGGGGGTTGAGAGATCCCGGGTTTCGGCACCAATAAATGTTAGGTATTTTCCTCGAACCTACAATAAAATAACCACAGACAACGTATATGAATTAAATATGGTCAGGCTTCTGCAGAAGGAGAAATCCCGATCAACAGCCCCTCCGGGCTGGTCAATAGAGAGTTCTGATCTGCTTTCACGTGAGCTCCCTCTTTATTGTCAAAGCATCAAACAACAGAGGTCGTAAAACATTTAACACAAACAGACCAACAACTCAGTTCCAGGTGTGATATCTAATTTACAATCTGAGCCCAGTTCAGCTCTGGGTCAAACTGTCACCTAAGACCGGGTAGATAAACACCAGAGAAAACTTTAGGGTCTGAGAACCATAAAGTTTTACTATCTCGCATGAAGACAGTCGTAACCTCCAGGTCAGTTTATACTAAAATCACAATAATACTTTAGACTGAATATAAACTAAAGTAACAACAAAATGATAATATTAAAAAATATCTAACAGTCTGTTGCTGGGTCAACAACAGACTTGTGTTTAAGGTTGCTGGGTCTTTCTTTCATACAAAGTTCCATCTTTAGCTTTTAGATTATTTACTTTTTTGTTCTGTCCTTTGTGTCTAGATTCAACTTTATGGAGTTCTTAGCATTTGGTTTAGTAAGATCCTTTTGTGTTCAGACCTTACGGTGCTCATCTCTGTGTTTATTAGCCATTTTTGCTCAGCTCCTCACTTCAGCTGCACTTCATTCAGTTAATTGTCATCATCATCTGGTTCTACTGCCATTAATCACTTCTGCATCAATTAAAGTTAGTCCACTTCCTTCACTCCTCCAGTTCCCCTCATTACTTGCCATGTTTTCTTGTAGCAAACCTGTTACTCTCATCTCTCTGAAAATATTCTGTGTTTTAGTAAGTTTTGGATGCATATTGGTTAAGGTAAGGTCAAAAATAACTTTTTGACCTCACTGCTTTTGGGCAAAACACATTGT